TGAGTTATCAGACTGATCATAGCTGCAGAAATCTTATTATCTATTCTTTCAAAAATGATGATTACAATGTATTAATGATTCCCGGTGTAAACTACTGTTGTAAATGTGTCGACATGCACATACGTACTTGGTATAACCTCTTTTTTATTCGGAATCTAGATATTATCCCATACGGACGTTTTCTAAAATGTCAGTTCCCCGACAGAATATACATAAGTGTACACCTATTTTGATTCCAGTTCTAGGGTAGATTATAGAAAATTCTTGTGATTACAATTAGTTCATAAGCTTAGGTAACTACGCAGTTTCGATAATTACTGGAGGTTTACCACCTGACAGCATTTGTTACTCAAAAAATTTGGGGGTTAAATACACTTGGAAAATTAGAAATGGTACATTTGTATGCCTGTAAAAGGTTTTTGGGTGTTAAACAAAACACTCCAAATATCATGATCTATGGAGAATGTGGCAGGTTCCCTTTGCATATACACTCTTATTGTAAAGTAATTCTTAATTGGATAAAGTTAATACACATGCCAACCTATCGCTTACCAAAGAAATGTTATAATATGATGATTTTATATGATAGAAATTGACACAAAAACTGGGTGACTGAGATAAAGCAATTATTATTTTCTACTGGATTTGGAGATATTTGGCATAACCAAGAAAATGGAATCTATCCGGATTTCATCAAATCATTTACTCAAAGACTAAAAGATATGTATTTTCAAACCTGGCAAGAAAAATTTTCTATGTCAAGCAAATGTGACACTTACCTAATGTTTGAAAACAATATCCACACCGAATTCTATCTATCATGTTTAAATGTAAAAATGTATAGAGTAAGTTTAGCACGATTCCGATGCTCATCTCATGAACTTCTAATCGAGAAAGGTAGATATGTAAATATGGATAGAGAACATAGAACTTGTAAATTATGTAATACAAATGCAATTGAAGACGAGTATCATTTTCTTCTTGTATGCCCTAACTACAGTAGTCTTCGAAGCAAATATATAAGAGAAAAATGTTATGTCCATCCAAACAGGCTTAAGTTTTCAGTACTGCTGAACAGTTTAAATCCTAAAGAAATTGAAAACCTGTACATGTATATTTTCGACTCATTTGTACATAGAAAACATATTGTTCCTTGAACGTGTATAAAGCAATGTATACTAGCCACATAAAGAAACTGTGCATTGTCAAAATATTATCCCAGTTGATAAGTACGATAACAATGTCAAAGGTACATATAAACTTTAATGGAGGGATCATGAGACCATAACAAGTCGGGAGAATTTCAATTGAAAAGTCAATCACAATGACGTCACGAGTCCACAAGCGGGACAGGGGTTAAACGACCATGTCACAAGCTCAATAACGGGTATGTCCACCATCGGCATTGAGAACAGCAGTGCATCGACGACGCATAGAGCCTATCAAACGTGCAAGGAAGGCTTGTGGGCTGTCACGCCAGATTCTCTCAGGTTCTGTTGCAAGGTCAAGGACGTTATCTGGCGGATGAGGAAGACGGCGTAGACGTCGATCAATCTCGTCCCAAACATGCTCTATCGGGGAGAGATCCGGTGAATTTGCAGGCCAAGGCAGTAAGTCAACGTTGTGGTGTTGCAAGAAATCCATAGCAACCCTTGCCGTATGAGGGCGGGCATTGTCTTGTTGGAATGTTAACCTAGGGCCATGGCGTTGCAGAAAAGGAATTGCCACAGGTCGAAGAATCTGATCCCTGTAGCCCACACCAGTTAAGTTGCCTTGAACAATCACCAAAGGAGTCCTTTGGCGTGCTGTTATTCCACCCCAAATCATCACGGAACCACCACCAAAGCGATTCCTCTCCAAGACACAGGCCTGTGCATAACGTTCTCCCACGCGTCTATAGGCACGTTGACGTCCATCACTATGGGAAATGTTAAACCTGGACTCATCTGTAAAAACAACATTTCTCCACCAAAACAAGGGTCTGTGGACATGATTTCGGCACCACATTCGGCGAGCTTGTCGATGACGTTGTGTCAGGATAGGCCGTATGGCGGGACGTCGTGGTCTGATCCCGTGATGACGTAAACGTTGTCGAACTGTGTTGGGGTGGATACGGCGAAGTCCTGGGATGGTTCGGGCAGTCATCACTGCAGTCTGAAACCTGTGGCGAAGATGGGTCACCCTTATCAATATGTCCTGTCTTGGCGTTGTTACACGTGGCCGTCCAGAACGTGGCCGATCGATGACGTCATTTGTGTTCTGGTAGCGTCTCACCAGTGCAGAAATGCTGTTCCGGTGGCAGTGGAAATGTGCAGCCACTTGTCGTTGAGACATTCCCCCACGGACCATCCCAATGGCCTCATGACGTTGTGCAGACGTGAGCCCTGGCATGCTATGCGTTTCAATAGCCGTTTAATTTTTTGAACGATCGCAAGGGCAGGGGTTGAGCTTTCCAAAGTGACAGTATTGTGTGGCATTCATTTGCTCTGTTTCTCTTTCCCGGAATTCACGTGCACGTCTCAAGGACGAACCCACTGACGTCACGGAACGTGGCACGTGCATGCATGTTGGATACATGTCACTAATCTCTGAGTTTTAATCCTTATGTGTCTACACAGGTTTGATAAATTTAGATTTTATATTTTTGTATGCACAGTTTCTTTATGTGCCTAGTATATAATGACGGTTGAAAAACACATCCTGGCACAAGATCTTGCTCAGCTCTACTGTATAGATTTCAAATCAGTCCACTGTGGAAATGACCCTTTTCCTACAATACTGGAACCCATGATCGGATCCTCCATCATTGGTGGGGAAGCCTCTGTTGTTTACTGAGCGTTTGCTCGTCATCCCGAAGACCCGGGTTCGTTGTCCCGACATGGGTTCAATGTGTGTGTAGCCCATTTCTGGTGACCCTCGCCTTGATATTGCTGTAATGTTACTAAAAGCGGCGTAAAACCAAACTCACTCACTTGTGGTAAAAACATGCATACAACTGAACGGTCATTACCATTATGCTTACAGTGAGTGAGTTTAGTTTTACGCCGCACTCAGCAATGTTCCAGCTATATGACGGCGGTCTGTAAATAATCGAGTCTGGACCAGACAATCCAGTGATCAACAGCATGAGCATCGATCTGCGCAACTTGGAACCGATGACATGTGTCAACCAAGTCAGCGAGCCTGATCACCCGATCCCGTTAGTCGCCACTTACGACAAGCATAGTCGCATTTTGCCGAAGACCTATTCTACCCCGGATCTTCACGGGTCCATTATGCTTACAATACAATTCATAAATGGTGTTTAAATTCTCAAAAAACCAAAGCCAATTGTATCCAGTTTTGCATAAAGTATACACTTCATTAGTTCCCGGGGTTAATTTCAGATGCAAAAGTCCATCTGACCTCTTGGCCACATAAAATATTTCCAAACTGAATTAAGTTTGTTTCGAGAAATGGGGGCCAGAAGACCCTCCTCCAGTGTACAGGGTAATAATCTTTTCTAAACTTGACTACGGCTCCATCATTCATGGTGGCGTTTGTGAAAAGTTATTTCGAATTATTAGATATTATTCAATAGTAAAACAACTCGACATTACTTCCGATACCTTGAAGTGATTATAAACTTGATATTAGAATTTACATCAAGTATCTAATGCAAAAGAAGTGGGAGACCCAAATAGATATGTATTAATTACATGCGATAAAACCAACTATTGGTTACTTCTGTTTGAGATGTCCAGATCTGAAGAGGTCTTTTAAAGAAGATGTCGTATTGGCCACATCAGATATTCCCATGAATATTCATTAAAAGGTTAGGAGCCTCCATGGCCTGCTTGACTGTATTGACTTTTCCATCACAAGGGATCAACATTTGAAATCAACACCAATGATGGATCGTTTAATAGTATTGGTTTCCATTTAATTGATTTTTCAAAGGAAATTTAATTAATTGATAATATATATTCCATACACATTATATTACAACAAGGTAGTATATGATTATTATCTTTATGTATGAAATATTGTTAGGGCTATGTGCTAGTGTTGCTAATATTAGATTTGTGACATTTTAGTTGTTTTACTGTCCTTTGTCGAAAGGTTTATAATTTTTAACTTCATGTATTGTGAATGTTTAACCTGTTTCAGTTACCATATGGCTGAAATACTGCCGATGTGACAATAAAACTGAACTAATTTACTCGCTCTCATAAAACGGTCATGTGCACTTGTGAGTGACGTCTCAGTCAGTAATCCAATTACTGACTGAAACGTTATGAGCTCGTGCCTCAATGCTTTGCTTTGTTCCATCTTCCACCATACCAGTTGCATGTAGTTCCTGGCGTCAGAGATGCCGCATGTCAAAAAACGTTTGGGGATGAAACAATATCATAACACATTTCTGTCTGTTGTTTTTCATTGGCTGAAATTTACAGTAGCACATGAACACGTTTCATTGTAAGCTTCGACCTATAACCCTACTATGTTCACGTGCACATCTGGAAAATCGTCAGCACGAAACTGGCCTTTGCACATAATTCTACACACGTGAACGGAATAATCATTTCTAAATCTATGTACAGTCAAACATATTTGATCATCAGCCAACTCAACTGGGAAAGGAGTTTGTTAAGTAGCAGTGCTGTACTTCCATGGCCAACTGATTCTCTGAACATGGTTGGATTGAGATGTCCATGACAGGAAAAGAAGACTAGCTCAGTCGGACCGATCTTTGGTTGACATTTGGAACAACATCGCCCTGGCCATTTTCAATCATTAGGCGTCATACTTGCCCCACCCATTGTTCCTGAGAACACGGCCCATTAACATCTCTAACCAAAGCACAAACTGCAGGGGACTCTTGCCTGGAATCCCAACTGTTCAATTTGTTTGTCTTTAAGTATAGATTTTTCATTATACAATCAACCACATAACAGATTGACAAGCAGCTCCTTATCTTGCCAATCACAGAAACAATGAAGTAGAACAAACACATGAGGTTAAATATACAAGAATATTTATTTCTTGTCTTTAATACATGAAGATGTATCAGACACTTTTTTTAATGGAAACCATACAGTCCTAAGAAGGGGAGAAGCACCAATCTAGTCATTCTTCAAGAAACATGGCTTACACTGTGTTGAGCACTAGGAATGAAGCACTATGTAGAGAAGCTAATTGTCAACCAAAGGTGGGATCAAAAGGCACACCACACGCTGAGTGATGTTTACATTGGCGCTACAGGCATAAATCTGGGAAAAATAAATCTGAGTCTGACAAAGGGCGCTGTCTTGACAATGTCAACTGGAAAGAATTGTTTTCAATGCTGCACTCAGCACTATTGCAGCTATTGGACAGCATCTTTAAATTACGATATCTGGACAAGACAAATCCAGTGATTGATATCATGAACAACGATCCATGGTGTTTTGGTATGTCATCAAATCTGAAAACCAAATAAATTCAGTCACCTGTACATCTTGTATAGGTAGCTAAAACAATCTCATTTTTGAGGTAAAAGGTTATTTTCCCATAAAATATCCTCATATCCCAAAATCTTGGAGACTTATCTTTGGAACAATAGGAATAATGGCTTTGAGCAAAACACTCTATGCATAACTGTAGTTTTCTTCCGCCTAACGCAACAAAAAGTGTTTAAGCAGCACCAACTTAAACATCTCCCAGATAGAGGCTCTGTGCAAATCTGAAGGGAAATACACAGAAGAGATTATGCAGGATCATATGTATGTACATATCTGGCACAAATCAATACATATTTGCATATAGAGGTAAGAGCAGTTATCAAAGGTAATGTTGCCTTATGCTTCGAAAATAATTTATACATATGTAAAGGTATTTAGATGCAATCTGACACATCATACCTAAAGATGAAACAATAATTCAATACCAACCTAATCAGGGTTGATAATATTCTATGAAACTATCAGACACCTAGTTAAACTGAAACACTATTTTGTACACAGAATAGTGTATCTAAGTGGCCATGTGTTTATATGCAATATTTTAAACCACAGAATCATATTTGTAATGTTGAAATCAGTCCTACAGAAACGCTAATTTATGTATTCAATGTGACCTTATATGTCTGAACACTGGTTCCATGGAGTCCAAGAGCATGCCAATCTATGCAGCGAAACAGTCACTTATGTCTACAAATTCAGTTTCTTTTGTGCAACATAGACTAAATTTCAGGCATTTCAGAAATCTTGAAAATGTCAACCTTATGAAATTTGCATATAGACGTCTGGATGGTATCAGAGCAAAATAACTTTAGAAGTCAAAACATTTGTGTGGATATTTAACATTCTGCATAATCGTGACAACTATCCTTAGTCAATCTGAACAATGGAGGAGGAAGTTCAATATGTTAAGCCCTAGAGTCACAACAAACACCATACAACTACATCAAATTCCCCTGTGGTCCAGCCACAGATTTGCATATTCAGTTGGTGTACACCATTCTCAGAAGCTGTCCACAACCACTTGGTCACTCAACACAGAACTGCTACATAGCTGAAAAAAGGCCACAGGGCTTGCAAAATGTGCAAAATGTTCTATGACAATACTGACAGCATACCTGACCTTAAGTCAGATAAAACAGATGCAAGACAAACCTTACATACATTGAAGATGGGGTTGTAATGGCCCTGATGTAAGAGTCCTTGTGACCAACTATGACAGGGTAACCATGGTTCGGAATACTACCATGGCACTTGTATGCTTGACCCTAAAGCAAGGAAACAGAAACTCAACACAAATAAAACAAGTGTAAACTTAAATATTTTAATAATTGTACCAAGTAATTATGGTCCCTAAAAAGACATTAATTCAGAAAAAAAGACAAAAGCCAGCAATATGAAGAAACTTTAGCCCATAACTGCTTCTCAACCGATATGGCTGCCTTTCCAACATTGTACAAATGTATGCTGCAGAAAACCTTATACGTATTCTCAAAACAGCAATAACTCTGATGTAGGGTGGTTATTACTGATGCCAAACTAATTGCCTGAGTACCAAGAACATGTTCATTTGTCTAATATGGATATACCTATTGTCATGTGTTAAGATATAGTAACAGTAAATGCTCAGTAGTATCTTCCATTTAAATAATGTTGGACACAAAATCTGGCAAGTAAAATATTTCAGTATTTCTTTTCAGCAAGATCACATTCCCATGTAGAATGCCCTTCAGTTAGTGTATCCCTTGTGCATATATGATGTGCAAGTCCCAGTGACAACAATATCCTGGGAAGAAAAAATGAGTTTGAGTTCTATTGTTTGTCATCCTAATGGTCCAGGCATGCAAACATATATCTTGAATGTGGCCTGTAATCCCTGTACAAAATTAAGCGATGACAATAAACCAACCAAACAATGTACATCTAGAAGACAGGTTTGATAATGTGCTTGGTCCATCTGTACAATCCTCAACTTATAGCCATGTTCATTAGTGTGAAACATTTGAAAAATATTTTTAAAATTTGGATCCAATCAAACGCACATCAAAACAATTTTTTATAAAACTCAACAAAATCATTGACAAATGTCTTTGAGCATGAAATCAAAGATTTCAACACACTCATCACTGTCTCCTACCACTGAGATTATGTCCGGGCTGACAACGACGGGTGAAATGTTTCAGGAAGAAAAGAAAAATATGTGCCTTTCAGCCTTTTCACAATACTTCCAAATCAATTTCTGGAAGGTCCAACGTAGAACAAAAAGGTGAATATGAAGTGCACCCTGTTTCTTCTGGATAACAACAGTTACCAAGCTGATACCATTTTGCTAAACACTATCAATTAAGACAATCAACATTGTTACTGGTAATCAGTATATCCTCTTGGAGAATGACAACCACACACACACACACAGATTACCTCACCACTGGGTTGCAGACCTCCTCAATTATCAAGGGTACTGTATCTCCATAATGAATATTGTATACCCATATGCTATTATAGAATAGTTATGAGCTGGATTCAAATAGTGAAAGGTACATAACAGCTGACACTTCAATGACTCTCACAAGCGAGAAAAACTCTGTGCTGAGAGAAAATGGTGATGAAGTCCAAAAGGTAGCATATAGGTCCAGGGTATTTATTAAGATGGAAATAGGACACAGTACCCTGGATGAAATAGAGATGGACTGCAAGCAAAATACTTACAACCATTCATCTTGACATCCATGTTACTTTTCGTGCTCTTCACAAAAGACACTTGAAAAAACAATTATCATAAATACTAACAAATAGTCACTGGACAGCCTTAATTCATTGGAAATGTACGAAACAGGTTAATGGTTACCAAGCCAACTCTCCGTACTCTGGTGTAACTTTTGCCAGTACAGGATTATGCAACACACTGCACATGCCATTATGAGCACAACTGAAACGACCTACAAGATTGGAAGACTTGAAACAACAAGTCTCTGTCAAGTTTTAGTAGACGGTTAGGATGTTGCTTTAAACAAGTATAAGATAATGTCAGTATAAAAAAATTGTGATATTGAAACCGCCTTCCTATAATAGATCTCATTTATCACCTACTAAAATAAATCAAATTGTTTGAAACTGTTAAAGAACTTTATGAGTAAATGAGGAAAAAAAACCACTTCATTGCCACCGTTACAGTTTGAAAGTTTATGTTTTTTCTTTTGGGTTATTTTTTCCCCAGTCTCCGAAATAAAATTATCAATAATGTTAAAGTAAAATGGATGGTGAAATCATAAAGAAAAAATGTTATCCAATGCCAGCATATCTCAAGTCCTTGAGCGGAGTGGGAGGACAATGATGATCAACAACTTCCGTTGAAACTTGAACAGCATTGCACCAGAGGCAAGAGAAGATAGACACACAAGAAATGAGATCAGCTGGTTAAACCTTACAATCAGTGGGTGGATGCAACGTGAATAGTACAACATACATAAACACATGCCAAATAAACAGGCCACTCAGATCAAACAGAGCATTTGTAAACAATGGTAACAGATGGTTCTGCCATGATTATACACGTTGTGAGTTTGTATTAAACTCGGTTTTGAACAGTATTTCAATCTAATAACATCATGTCAGCTTAATGTCAGACAAAAGCCTGATGACATCCAGGTCTCACACTTTAACCACTTTGAAGATATCCACAAGCATGAGACTGAAAAACACAGAATAGGGGTGAACCAGGATTGAAACCCACGACAACACTGCACAGCAATTGGAGGAACTCAGATGACAGCACCACCCATGCAACCCAAATACTGTAAGGAACATAGGCAGAACAGCAGAGACATTTCCATGTTAAATAGAAAGAAAAAAAGTGCATATACATGTAGGGCACATTAAGCTTCTGTAATTTAAAGTAGAAATTCATGATTAACTATAAGCCATTTTATATGTTACATCAACCTTAAAGCTAAGCAAAAACTTATAATACTGTCAACATTGATTAAAATCTCTTCCAATAAGGCTTGAGGACAGACTTTTCGGCCAATTGTGGATAAATACCCTGTTTCTTTCATGAAACAAAATCACAACAAAACAAAAGCCACATACCAAACAGCATAGCACTGCTAAGCCAGCACTTTGCCATTTCGGATTATCAGATCTCCTAACTTGTTTTATCTGTGTGTAACGGAGGAAGCATTTTGTTTTATCATCATCATTATTATTCAATACAACTACATCACCCGCCTGCCAAGTAGTTTCAGCATCCTTAAACTAACACAGCGTATCCAAGGCAGAACTAAATATTCATATACATGTAACAGAATGGGGCATTAACACAAAAACAACATTAACACAAAACACAAAGAAAACAGGATAACAATAATTTTTGTCTTCTAAGACAATAATCCTTATCACACTGATAACGGTTTTAAAAAATCTGAGTAATTATCAATAATGTATATACATTAAGTAAACACAATTATGGGTAGATAAAGCACTATTATAATGGTAGACAGTTCGCATTTCCTTCGCAGAGGCCATATGACATCTGTATTTGATTTACATCACAAAGCCTCACATACTGTTTGGCGATTGTTATTAAAGACATAGCAACAGATTAAACTTCATAACAAAGCCATGAACTCAGCTTTACAACCTGGCGTATTTTCGAGAAAAGAGAAATCTGAAGAGAGCTGTGAGTGAACGGCGCATAACAAGTCAGATGTAATAACGTTATGTAAGGCAATTGTTTTTATTTGTTGGAGCATCAGTCTGTTGACCCAATTTTTAATCAAAAGGGGATCTGAGTTCTCTCGTACTTCTCTTCCGACAAGACACAAATGTTTTGTGATCAGTTGTTTAATAATATCATAGACATCATGAATACAATACACAATTTCACATTCAGTTTGGCCAAATATATCAATCCCAGTTGATGCAGTGAAAAATAGAATCAGGAGTTGTGTCCCTTGTTCTTTGTACAAAAGACTTTGTGGAAATAACTCTCTAAATCTTCAGAGAAAGCCAGTATTTCATGCACAGAGAGTGAAAACTGCAGAAGCATCTTTGATCAATAAATAAAAACAAATTGGCCCAAAAATTGCCTGTATGAAAGTAAGTCTACGTCAGACAAACTAGCCACTGTGTATGGAACAGTCCATGGCATTTTGGTTCTGGGGCATATACACAGAGAATTGGTCTTCCCACACACTCTCTCTGATCTCTCTTATTATCAGTGGTTGTAATTCACACAAGAACCTACTTCACATTAACTCTGAAGAAAAACAATTCTAGATTCTAGTAAAGACAGCTATTCACAATTTTAATTGCATTCATAAGGGACAAAATTTCAAATGTTGAAAGCTCAATGCTAATTGCAGATATGTTCAATAAAATAGCTCGACTAACATACAAATTTTCAAGACAAAAAAATTAAAAAATGTTGGTCTGTGATTGTGGTCAAGTATTCAGGTTTTTCTTGGTGACAATAGTTTGCAAGTCACAAACTACATGGTACTACTTCCAAACCAAGTGTCTTACACAACACACACAATGCGTTTTCAAAGAGGAGAGATAACGAGCAAAACTCTTTCTTATAAATTTAGAAAAAGGTTCTCAAAGAGGAATGGTCTAGGTGGCAACATCAACACACCTGTCAAAAGAACAAATAACAATATGACGTAGCTATGGCTGAAATGCACTTTCGATGACAGCAGTTGTCCCAATTTGCAAGTTGTCAAAGTTTGGATTAATCTCAAAGCTCAGATGAACTGTTCCAATGAAGGCAGTAGATTAGCCCAAATTTATGTCATCACAATTCCTGCCATATTGAAGTTCATCTAAAATCTCTCAACATGTTTACTGATTTCTCATTAAAGATTCATGGATCCAGTCACAGGGACTGAAGAGGAAAGTAAACATGAAGCAGAGCAATATCAGTTTAAGGTAACTTACTTGTAATAATGCTCACAGTTACTAAACATTAGTTACCAGGGATACGCCTTACAAACTTTGGCTGGGACTATGCTGCTTGACGTGATTTCCAAAACCCAGTGAGTCTTGTTTTACACCATATTAAGCATAATGATCACAATACTGACTGACTGAATACGGTTTTACGCTGCTTTTAGCAATATTCCAGCAATATCACTGCGGGGGGACACCAGAAATCGGCATCACACGTTGTACCCATGTGGGGAATCGAACCCAGACCTTTGGCTTGCCGAGCGAACCACTAGGCTACCCCAGCGCCGCCCCAATGATCACAATAAGGTGGCAGGGAGCACCAGAAATGCTTCCCACAACATACCCATGTAGAGAATCGAACCCCACAATCCAGCTTTTATGCAGCATTCCACATTTGATATGTGAAAGCAATCTCAGAAATGTAAATCTAGCTGAATGATTACATCTGGCTACATTGTCCCAAAACGTCCTCTGTGGTCTACATGGCTCAACTATAGATGGCATAAAGGATGGGAAATTGAATCCATGGCAGTATTATTAGTGTAACAATCCTGCTTGTTTGTAAAAGTATTCTGCTTGGTACATATTGAAAACTCTCTTCCATGTTGTCTTTAATTGTAAAAAGTCTAACAACTACAATGAGCACCTACAGACAAGCACATGACTTAATATCATAAACATTCAAATACAGTATTCTTAGTCTCAAGAACATGGTGGTTTGACAAAACAGCAAAATGGAGGCAATAATGAAATACCTTATGGTCTTATGGGAATGACTTTGTTGCATGTAACCCTTGAACGATACGTATCTTCACGTCTACACCACACTTAACAGTACTTTCAGTTCAGCAACGTCGTAACCAATGAACAATCTAGAGTGTCGTGACCTGCTCTAACAACTACAGGTATATGACCAGATATAACATAAAGTTATAGGAAGTATATGGTAAATAAGAAATTATTTGATTTTATTCATATATGCAGATGGTTACATAGTTTTGTTAACAACATATGCTTATTAATGTACAGCCTATGTACAAGTCTGATAATGACAAACACTTCATGGAAATGTGAAGCAAGGGGCTATTGTAAAGTATCGATAATAATGACTGTAGTCATGTCTACGCAAAAACAAAACAAAAGTTCACCATCGGCAAAATATTTTAGTGCATGTTTCATCTGGCTGGTGTCCTTGTTATATAAATGGATTATGCATTTGTGTGGGCATGTCAGTTTGATTAGTATTTTCATCACAGTTTGAAGAAAAATGGCTGCCATTTGGCAGTGGATGATATTGACACAAACCTGGTCCTAAGAGGTCTTACGGTTCATGCAATTCTACATCAAATTAGGCTTAAAAAATGAAAATAATTGGTTCTCCAGCAGTCATTCTAAAAAAAGAGTGGGGCAACAGTGTAGCTCAATCAGATACATTGTATTCATTATCAACAGCTCATAAATGTCAAACAAATAATGTCTAAGTCAGACATGTATTGGACAGTCATTAATTAATAAAAATAATGAAAGTTCTTATTTTCACAGTTGTTTTCTATGACTGGCATTGGCACTGGCATTTCTGGCCGCAGAAAGTGCACCATAATCATATGAACAAATTTCATTGACATGAAGTTGACAATCATCAGTGAACTGGCGACATGGAATTATATTTACAGAGGATGGTGGTGATGCCCCATGAAGAAATGCCACGAACACTGAGCATCAGGACCTCACATGATGAGAGCTAATAACTGGTGCTGACCATCAATCTGTTCTTATAGGGGTGTTACCCTTGGTATTTACAAAGAAATAGAAATAAATGCAAATGCTTAGATGTTTTAAGGATGGGAGAGTGCCTGAGAACCAATAATTTTTATTCAGCCGTATAACACATCCGATGTGATGTACATGGGTTACCATGGTTACATTGTCAACAAAATGATAAGTCTGATATGTAAAATTTACTACATTTCACCACCTTTCATCAAACACAAGGTCTTAACGTTGACCTGATATACTGTTATCCATGTTGACTGGAGCACTGCTGACAGACATATGCCCCACCCATTAAGTCATCTGTGTAACAGAGCTCAGCCTCACAGAAGCCCAATTCTATACCCACCAGCTCATCTGTGGAACAAAGCTCAGTCTCACAGAAGCCCAATTCTAACCCACCGGCTCATCAGTGGAACAGAGCTCAGTCTCACAGAAGCCCAATTCTAACCCACCAGCTCATCTGTGGAACAGAGCTCAGTCTCACAGAAGTCCAAGTCTACAACCACATTCTCAAGATGCAACCCACTAGCTCATCTGTGGAACAGAGCCCAGTCTCACAGGAGAAGCCGCATGTTAGAACCACATTCTCAAGCCATACTCAAGTTCATCTGTGAAAAGGAGCTATTTCTCCCAGAAGCCAAATTCCACACCCACTAGCTTCTCTGTGAAACCGAGCGCTGTCTCACAGATGCCCAATTCTAAAAACACATTCTCAAGACGCCACCCACTATATCATCTGTAGAACCAAGTCCTCTAGAATGCTAACTTGTATCACACCAATTTGTCATTGTATTAGTAGATATTGTTACTATGGTGATTCCTCCGATGATTGGTGAGATGACAAACTTGGTCAGTTCAGACACGAATCTCTACTCTACTCAGCAGAGTTCTTCATCACAGTTTCGGGTTCTCACGGATGATGCAATGACAGGTCAACTGGATCCTGTCTCTCACAAAACTCCTACATAGCTCAGAACACATCTAACATGGATAGGGTCAAATGGCATTAGCACACATCGGAGAAAATAACTTCTCCCATTATGGAGATACTGGCTTCATTCAGTTAGTTCTCAGGAATACATCATCTAACAACATCTGAAAATAAATACTTCAAAGCACTCATATATATATTAGTTCTGTAAAGAAGTCTGAATGGAAGAATTTGTCAAGGGAGAGAACTGTGACCTTATACAGGCAGCCAAGTGGGCAGGGCTATGTCTGCGTGTCAAACAACAGCCTGTGTAACTCAAGTCAAGTAGCTGTTCAACTGTATCGGACCAATGTAATTCTACGCCTACTGCCCACTGCCTGCTCCAGTTGGTTGGCTGGCCTGCCCATTCTCCACCTGACTACGTTGTATAGTGACTTATACTGATGAATGTGCTCCATGGTGTGGGGTTATGGAGGTTATACCGCCGTTGAACTCTTAGGTTTGTTCTTTCCCCTACGCTGAGCCAAGCGGGAGGCACCAACTGGTTCTAGCACAGGTTTCGGGGCATTGCTCAATGCTTTGAATGTGGCTGCCACTGCTCCCTGAAAAGACATAATTTTAATATTTCAGTCACATTATCGCGGCCTGTAAACAATCAAGCTGTAAATGCTCCATGTACAATGGAACCTAATCCATTACATCACTGAACCTAACCACCTGATCTATCTAGTCACTTCTTACGAACAGGTAATGGTGAACCAATCCTTTTCCAGAAACCCTTTGAGGACCAAAGTCAGTTGACACATCATTTCATGAGTTGACTGTGGGTCCATTCAAATATCACTCCTGCATGAAGTAACCTTGTACTTGTCAGGATATCAGGGGTAGACACCACTCATATCAAACTGGTCCACAGCTCTAACAGACAAGTCATTTAGGTAAAGCATTAAGATTTTTACAGAAGATAGTGAAAAATACAGTGGGCCTAACCCATGTCTAACCGCTCGAAAGTAATTGTGACCCGACACCTAAGTTACCCCGTCAAATGAAGCAGAGATGGTCCCATACCTTCAACTGTGCATCTTGAATTGTGAGTCTGAAGTTCGGTAAGCTGTCTCGTTGTGCTATCCAAAGGTTGTTGAGCACCTGTGTGGCAGTGAGTCGTCGATGAGGGTCGATGTGCAGCATGCGTTGAACCAGATCCTGCAATACGAAAAGATCACAAGTAAATGTTTGACACCACCGGACAGGTTCTCAGATATATCACTGCATGTCAGTCTGCTGCAGGAGGAAATGTTAGAATTGATGACAGGTTGACCCATTTTGTTCTGGGCAGTGTGTGTGTGTGTGTGTGTGTGCGTGCGTGCGTTTGTGTTCAAAAATTTTGTACACGTGGGGGTGGGGGGTCACATCACCCCCCCCTCCTGCCATAAATTATTAATGGTCCCTTAAAACATGTTGGCCCGAAAAATTCCTAAAAGAAGCAGACATTCTGAAAGAATACTATGATTATGTAATCCACAAACTTGCTAATCTCGATGATGTCACTGGACACAGTACAGACCTGATTCACACGATTTGTCTGTGTAGATTTAATATCATATTTTCTCTTTGATTACAGCAATCATTAACTGCTACATTGATCTACGCACAAAGTTTCATGAGCAAGCAAAGTGTGATTATCAGGCTCTTCAAAATCAGATCATAGTTCTCCCTACAACTAAACAAAGATCTGAGGACATCCTATTACAGCTCATATCATCACACCCTCCCGCAAACTTGACCAACTAATGAAATGACAAACAACAAGTCAACATTAACTAATCAGAAAGCAGCACTTGGTTAAAACTGGTGACATCCATTCCAAAATATACATTGAAAAATAATTTGTCCGATTTCATTTAAAACTGAACAAAAGAACATTCTAGAAAGTATGTTGGAGGACAAGGAAGTATTGCAGTATGCAGTCTCTTCAATTCAAATGTTTATCCTAGGACCCATTGTAAATGAGATTGACTTTGGTCAATGTTTTAGCATGGATGGTTTAGTAAACCTTCTGATAAGACATCCGAACAATACATATTGGTTTAACATAACATAAATGAAGCTTACCTTAGCAGGAGCTGACACAGAATCCCAGTTTCCACCTGATAATGTGAACTTTCCTTCTCCTATCCGTGCTAAAATGTCATTTGGTGTGTCGTTTGGGCCATTGGCAAATGGCGTGTGTCTGAAAATTGAAAACATCCACTAATAAAAACATGTTGTAAAACTATTTCTGAAATTGTAATTGTGGCATTTATTACAAAAACCTTTTGGAAAAAGTAAGTGGGGTGAGCGAGTTTAGTTTTATGCCGCACTCAGCAGTATTCCAGCTATATGGCGGCAGTTTGTAAATAATCGAGTCTGGACCAGTGATCAAACAGCATGAACATCGATCTACGCAATTGGGATACGATGACATGTGTCAACCAAGTCGGCAAGCCTGCCCACCCGATCCCGTTAGTCACTTGGGTTACTGAAGAAGAATTCTAACCCAAATCTTCACGGAGCAGCAGCATATTGAGAAAATGATACGGTGAGTAAACACTCAAGACAACAGAGATATGAACGCCACCGATCAAAATTCGGACAACATGATCTACTTAATTTTGTCACAATCTTGCCATTTTACTGCGAACTGTTTAAACAAGAGTCTGTTACCTTCTGTGTAAGATTCAGAACTTAACAATCGATCCTTGTATGTTGTTGATGCATCAATGGTCAAAACACATGCAATAATATTCCATTCTCTTCCATCATTATGTAGATCATTTCTCCCTATAACCTGCTCAAATGTTAAACTTCACAATTCTCCAATGATAAGATCTAGACTCACCCTGCCAGCATGGTGTACAGCAGGACACCAAGACTCCAGATATCACATGCAGCATCATAGCCTTGTCGCTTCAAAACCTGAAACAGTATGGAATGATCCCTCAGACAACTTCAATATGATGCTTCATGTATTCGGCAATATTGCAGCTGTATCACAATCAGAACTCAGCACAGTGAGATCTGCAACCGCTTATACGTAAGGCTTTATGATGAGAATGGCAGTCTCAGGGCCTAATCTTCAGTAGGGATATCGTCCCGAGAAGACTTGGAATTATTCGAATCAGGACCAGACAACCCAGTAGATGAAACCCTGATCATCGATAGACATAACTGGGATACCACATGCATCAATTAACTCAGTGAACCTGATGGATTTTAATAAATTCTGAGGTATTTTAAGTTTGCTCTAAAAAGCCTAGTGATATACAAGTTACCAGTGAGTGAGTAGAGTTTTACACTGCTTTCTAATATTCCAGCAATATTATGGCATGGAACACCAGAAATGGGCTTCACACATTAGACTCATGTCTTGGGCATGATGAGCAAATGCTTTAATCACAAGATTACCCAAGTCCTCCTACCACTACAAAGCTCCTATTTCAGTCATAACTATACAATCAGGAACCTTGTGAAATCCCATTTGGAAAGTTTTAATAACATTTGATGTGGCCAAGAGTAAGTCTAGTTTTCACCTCACACCCAACGAGGAAGAAGGGAGGTCTGACCTGGTGTCCTGTAAGTTGCAATTTGGAAAAATAATTCCATGGAGACATGTGTGTTACCTCTGGTGCCACAAAGTTGGCAGTGTAGCATGGTGTCATGAGCAATCCATTTTCAGCACGCAACTGTTTTGCAAAGCCAAAGTCACATATCCTCAGGCTCTCTGGAGATCCGGTATCATCAGCATACAAAATGTTGGAAGGCTTCAAATCTCGATGGACAACCTATAACAGGAAATTTATGCCTGCAGGTGTATGTCTTAAACCAGTTTCTTCTTGGCAACCAAGTGTTGTTGATAGCCTGGGCTACAATCCATGTCATCATCAGACATTATCCAACAGCAACATCATTATAGAACCATGTAATCCCCAATGTATTCAGTTCTTTGGACAAAACAGGTAAGTAGAGAGCCATTACGCCCCCGAATGCACAGAGAATGAGTGAGTGTGTGAAAGAGGAAGCAAGTTTTGTTAATAATGCTTTGAACAGTAATTCAGTTTTACCACAGCATGTAACTTGATGTAGGAGGAAAAGCCTAAAGTAATGCTGGTCTAAGACGTTTACCACATTGGTAACACCCATAAGGATGGGTATGGTGGTGACAAAGCTAGAAATATAATCACAACCAGGCTCCCAAAGGCCTTAAGGCATTAATATAGACCCACAACTACCAGGTTGCCCAGCAAAACATGTAAATCACCTAACTCTGCATGCAATACTAAAGACTATGTTTCCCACTTGCTGCAACAAAGACTAATTCAACATGTAGTGATCATATGTAACATGCAGATATCCACAACAAGTAGTGCGAGACTCACTCCATTCTTGTGAAGATATTCCACAGTTTTTGCAACAATCTGTAACACAGCACTGGCTTCGCGTTCAGAGAAGAATTTCTGACGTAGAATCTTGTCAAGTAGTTCACCTCCTCTCATTAGCTCTGTCACCATGTACACCTTGGTACCATTGTCGAAAACCTAAACACAAATTTCAAGTTTTAAAGTACTTCAGGGAGAACTATCACACAGGGAAAAGGCAACTTTCCCTTTTCGCATGATGACATAGTTCACTCAAAGTATTAAGGTTCATTCAATGCCTTTTCAAAGCAGACTCTGCTTCAAATCCTTTTCAATGCATATCCACAAACAAGGGATTTCCAAAGCAAACTTGGTTTCCAGGCCTTTTCAATGCATACTAACACACAAGGCCTTTTAATAGCTGACTTTGATTCAAAGCCATATCAAAGGAGAGTGTGATTCCAGGCAAGGCCTAACAAGAGACCTAACCCCTTGCTCCTGATTCAGTGTAGAAGACAACACTTACATCTCGTAGTGTTATGATATTAGCATGGTGCCCAAACCGCAGCAGAATCTCTACTTCTTCTGAAGGATCCCTCTTCTCCTTGTCCATGATCTGCCAATACAACACAAACAATAACATATGCAGTCTAGATGAACAGCGAAACATACACATACAACATTCATTTCATTGTTAAGACTACTCTGTATTAACTACCAGACTCCAAAAACAATTCAGAGAGACATATAAAACCATCTCAACATGTATACACTGAAACTGACTGAATATCTATATTATTCAGTGAGAAGGAGTGTATAGTCAGAAGGAATTAGCGTATAGTCAGAAAGAAACACAAACTTCTGCAACTCGCAGTGTAACCACACTATATCAAATGACTGAGGGTTCAAGAGGTCCCATGGCGTCCCGGGTCCTGAGAAGGACCCATCCAACCAGAGAACCAGTGCCCCGTTCCTCAAGGCGATTGTAGCGCTACGGCAGTCGTAAGTCCATGTTAAAGTATGGAAGTTACGACCATCTTGGCTCTACGATCGTTTTGAGGAACATGGCCCAGGTTCCCTCCCCAACCCCAGTAACTGTCATACAATCCTTTCGAAGAACAAGTTTGTTTTCTTAAGTAATACACAAACTATTCAATATAATGTAGCATAAAAGACAAACAAGTGAATATTTCTTCTGACAAAGTCAGTGTTATTCGAACTTATTCCACACACCACAATGGCTGGAATGTAACGATTTGGGACAGACAAACCAGAGGTTCATATTTCGAGCATTCCTTTGTGGCACCAAAGTACAAAGGGTTGGAGTAATTGTTGTTTAGTGTATCCAGCTACATCACTCGGCCAGTAAATGATCAAGTCTGGACCAATCAAATCAGTGACTGAACATATGAGCAACTATGAACATCATCCGAGCATCATGACATGCCATCAACCTAGCTCACTACCCTATTTCACTGACAATAATCTGCACTGACCAATTCTGCTATGGGACCTCATTGGGGCCAATGAAAAGGACTATCTGCAACACTTACTTTGACTGCGTAGCTGTTCCCAGTCATTTTATGCACACATCGTTTACACACTGAATAAGAGCCAATGCCAATATCCTGAAATGAAAAGTGTATCATTAGAAAATTCACACAAACTGGCTGCAACAATGACACATAGAAACCCAATCCTGTGGTTTGTTTTGTAATGCCTCCAACATAATCCAAGTGCATGAGACAACTTGTTGCAAATTTTAGGTTGTTAAATATGAAGTCTCTTTATGTACATACAACACTTCCTGAATGAAACTATCCAGTATTTACAAGTCATTTCCTGAGCAAATTTCATTCAATGTGACCCAGACATCTGACTCATCCATGTCACAAGTGGTATTAATATAATATCTGTCGTAACTGATTGAAAAATAAAGATTTTATAAAAAATACCCAAGTACATTGTAAAACAAGAACCTTGATGCCTAATTCACTCTGAGAGACATGACAGGAAGACCTCATTCAAGACCTCATAACTTACTTCTTTCAGTTCATATTCATCTGAAAACTTGCAGCTCTTCACACCCGGTAACTGAAACACAAATGTGTGTGTGTGTGAAGTGCAGTACCTCAAAAATGCAGAAGGCATTACATTTTCCACATTATACAGTGCAATCTTATCGCAAAGCACTGACATGACATGCATGTGCCTTCCAATATAAACAACAAAATATAAGTTCTAATAATATTACGTTAACATCATGATATAATGTAAACCTGCCTGTTTGAGCCAGTGTGTTTTTCTGGGACTATTTCAGCAGTGTCACTGTAGAAGACATCAAGAATGGACTCAATGTAATAATGTGGGGCCCTGAATGGTAGCCACATGGTTAACCAATGCAATTAGACAATGTTTTAAGCACATGGCATCCCACTGCTCTTTCAGTGCTGAACGTACAGTTTACCAGTCAAATATGAAGAGGCACCTACCTTTGCTAAATTTTTCTGATTATCTAGAGGATTGTTTGGTTTGATGTTCTCATCGAGTAAAGCAGGGGCTACAAAACTAAATCCACGGAACAGTTCATGAGCAGTAGCACTGGGGGGAATGCCAGGGGAATCTGCAACAAACATCATAGATAGATATGTCTCAACACTCCAACATACCAAAATCAAAGCTGCTCTTAACATCTTATCAATCTGACACTACTTCAAGTAATGACATCATATGTCAGGCCAAATGAAAATAATACCCTGCTTGAAAACAGTAGAAGGATCTAACTTGAACTGGAACATAACTCTGATCACTGTATTCAATAACTTGTCATCAATGAGTATACTGTCACCAGTAGAAAAGAATGTAGTTCTGGGCCCCTATTCTCGAAAGGATCCTAGCCCTAGGATATCCTAACTTTATCCTAGGGTCTGGGATAGGTGTCCTACCTTATTCTCGAAAAGTATCCCAGCTAGGATATCCTAACGTAGGACAAATACTAGGATAGGTTCTGACTTGTCCTAAGTCTATCTTAGTGGAAGTCAACAAGGTGTGGTTCTTGTTTGTTCACCAATTTTGACGTCAAACAAAATAACTCGCCTAAATTACATTTGAATTTACAACAGCACAGTTTTGATTAGTTAAGAAGAGTTTTTTGTGGACATATTATCAATGTATCAGTAATGAATAGACACACTTGTTGCAATGCACATATTCTTTAGATATACAAAAGAGATTTGTTCAATTCTTACCTATTCTCAGCCTTTTTAATCACAATATTGCTCTTTACTGTAACATTGCCATGAAATGTCAATGTCAAGGTCAAGTCGATAGGGGAAGTAACTCCTGTTTATTTCCTAGATGAATGTTCAGGTTGTGAGATGACACATAATGAGAGTTCAAGAAATGATTTTCATAAAAAACAAATAAAAATGTAATTTTTGGAGTAAAATTGATATTTTATACTTATCCTGACTCATGCTCTTTTTGCTTGTCTTCTTCTTCTTGCGAACATAGTGGAACACTTGTATCTCCCTAATTGAAGCTCCCTTCAATTTAAAATCACTAATTAGTATTCACCACGAGTTACCTCCTTTCCACAAGCGCGGGAACGAGGGCGCCACCTCTACCCATGTGCCTCACTCTCTCCTCATATACTGAGCCCAACATTTTGAATTTACAGGAAATCCAAAGTGTTATTTGGGAGGATGGGAGGGCTGACCTCATGAGTCAGGATAAGTATAAAATATCAATTTTACTCCAAATATTTTCCTTATCCTGACTCATGCTCTTTGCTTGTAGCATCCTCACGGACAGGAGTGGGAATATCTAATACTTTGGATTTTTAATAATTAGTGATTTGAACTGTGATGATTGTAATAACCCTATGGGAACTTCATAAAAGGCACTGAATTGATGAATTCCTGCTGCTAACTTATCAGCTGCCATATAAAGGTTATTACCATGTACTTATTATGATAAAAGTATATATAACATTAATACAATGCTTAAGACTAATAGACTTAAGCTTGTTAATATCTTAGTATAAACTCCTTAGAGTTTGTTAGCTAAAATACTTTTAAGATATAACATAGTACTAAGCTTAAGATATGATTAAACTTAAGCTAATTATATAATAGCAAACTCTTTAGAGTTTGTTGGTTAATATACTTATATGATATAGATATAATGCTGAGCTTAAGATATGAATAAGCTTTAGCTACATATATAATAGCAAAACTCTGTAGAGTTTGTTAGCTAATATATTTTTATAATATGAGTATAGTACTGTGCTTAAGCTATAATTAACTTAAGCTACATATATAATAGCCAAACTCTGTAGAGTTTGTTAGCTAATATATTTTTATAATATGAGTATAGTACTGTGCTTAAGCTATAATTAACTTAAGCTACATATATAATAGCCAAACTCTGTAGAGTTTGTTAGCTAATATATATTTATAATATTAGTATAGTACTGAGCTTAAGATATAATTAACCTAAGCTACATATATATAGCAAAACTCTGTGGGGTTTTGTTAGCTAATATATTTTTTACAATATGAGGTATAGTAGTGTGCTTAAGATATAATTAACTTAAGCTACATATATAATAGCAAAACTCCGTAGAGAGTTTGTTAGCTAATATATTTTACAATATGAGTATAGTAGTGTGCTTAAGATATAATGAACTTAAGCAACATATATATTAGCAGAACTCCGTTAGAGTTTGTTAGCTAATATATTTTACAATATGAGTATAGTATTGTGCTTAAGATATTATTAACTTAAGCTACATATATAATAGCCAAAAACTCTGTAGAGTTTATTAGCTAATATGTTTATAGTGTAACCATAGTACTAAGCTTATAGTACTGAGCTTAAGTTATGATGAAACTTAAGCTATATATATATAATAACAAAACTCCGTTCGAGGTTTTGTTAGCTAATACTGCTTTATAATAACCATACTGCTTAAGATATGATGAAAACTTAAGCTAATTGTATAATAGCGAAAACAACCCTTTAGAGTTTGTTAGCTATGATATAAACCTAGTATTGAGCTTATGAAGGAAAACTTAAGCTACATATATAATAGCAAGAACTCCGTAGAGTTTGTTACCTAATACATGTTATAATGTAACTATAAAGCTTAAAATATGATGAAACTTAAGCGAAATATATAATAGCAAACCCTCTTTTAGAGTTTTGATAGCTAATATACCTATATGATATAAACATAGTACTAAGCTTAAGATATGAATAAGCTTAAGTTACATATATAATAGCTAAAACTCTGTAGAGAGTTTGTTAGCTAATACATGTTATAATATAACCATATTGCTTAGAAATATGATGATACTTAAGCCAAATAGCAAAAACTCTTTAGAGTTTGTTAGCTAATCTACTTATATGATATAAACATAGTACTAAGCTTAAGATATGAATAAGCTTAAGCTACCTATATAATAGCAAAACTCCTTAGAGTTTGTTAGCCAATATATTTTAATAATATGAGTATAGTACTATGCTTAAGGTATAATTAGCTTAAGTTACCTATATAATAGTAAACTCCATTAGAGTTTGTTAGCTTAATTAACTTAAGCTATGTATAAAATAGCCAAAACTCTGTAGAGTTTGTTAGCTGATGCATTTATCATGTAACCATAATATTACTCTTAAGATATGAATAACTTAAGGTAAATATATATAATAACAAACTCTGTGAGTTGTTAACTTATATATTGTATGATGTAATAATCATGGTACTGTGATGATAAAAGGAACTTAAGTAAATTATATATAGCATGAAGCTATTTAGTATTGTTATAAGATAAGTAAAAATCTGTTAGATTGACTTATCTTCTCCGAGGAACTGTCAGCTGTTGTCTTGAGGACCATGGGATCGAATTGGTGTATACCTGAGGAGCGTCCTGGGTGGTGATATCTCTCAGATAATGGTTTGCAACCACCATATCGGATCTCAGAAATAAACCCTCCAATATTTCAAACCACATTTTGTGTGGAACAATTGTAGAAGTTAAGCTATAATATCATGAGTATTAAGCTCATGGAGGGTCCGGAATAGGTCCATCCGCATATGCATTAGTAGTATGACAGTTCTGATCCAAATGGAGATATAGTACATGAGACTTCTCTCATGTAAGTTGATGATAGAGGAAATAATCTGTTGCATTTTTACTCCTGTTTGGTTTGGTGGAGATAAATTTACAGTGCTCTTGCTGGCCATCTTGATAGAATCATCATTATCATGGGGTCCAAGTATGTCATCAGGCGTGTTCATAAACCTCACTTGTGAGGTGTTGGAGCACTATATTCATATCCCCAGGTTGGTGAAATTTCGTTTATTCTCCAAACAGAAGTTTAGTAGGTTTACTAACCATCTAGTTGTGTTAATTAAACTGATGAAATTCAGCTGTAGTCACAAGCTTGCTGTGGATTTAGATCCACTTGTATCTTTCGTCCAGCAGGTAATTAAGCTGCGAAGTCCTTGGCGATGTAGGTTCACAACCAGGTGTGTCTGTCCTCGTTGAACTTTATGTAAAATCGCCTGACTGCCCGATCCCTCGTCTTAACTTGACAGGGGAGGTCTCTATCTTGAAGAAAGGCAGTCTAATCATGAATGTTCAGGTTAACTGGACTGTAATGAGGCTTGCTTTCGTTCACTGATATATAGTTGTCACTTGTGACGTAAGTCTTGAACTGTGAATAGAGATGCGACCTCTGTGTAGGTCGTTGTCCCTCGCCAAGGTCCAATCAGAACAAGGCATTTTGATTCTGTATAATACCAGCTGTGATGTCACCGGTGTAGCGGAAAAACCCACCTTGAATAAATTCTTGTCGTCGTTGATATTAGCATAAACGTCGGTCTTCACCGTAGCTTCGAAGTTATCCGAGTGACCACGTGTTTCGAGGGTTAATGGTAACCCTTGAAAACCTCCGTATGAAATATCTAGCTCTGTAATTTTATGCTGGGTAGGTTATTTTCCTGGTTGTCGTTGAAAGTAATTTCAGTTTTGAATATAATTCCGACTTCCTTATATATAAGGGTATAAACAACTTGCAAGTTGTGAGCTTGTAGACTGTATACATGAATGTATCGTCATAATTGTAGAATTAACGTTGAACTTGTTGTACATATTTCTTCTCAGAAACTTTGAATTCGATTAAAGAGTTATACTTCGCTGTAACAAGGCTGCTGTTCAATTTCGATATTGAATTGTCTGCAGATATGCGTAATGTGTCGCATGTAGATAATCGTATAAAATCGATCGGGATTGTATATTAGCAATTTATCACGGAATAGTTGATTTCTGTGAAGATCTATGAAATGTCGTTGACTAATAATACAGCGGCGTTCTGTGTTGTAAATAGCCTGAGCAATTATCTTCGGCGTGGCTTTATAGGCGGCATCTGGCATACAGTTGATAATCAACTTATCGCGGCGTCTTGAAACGGACTGGCAGTAGCTATATATGACGAGTGGCTGGTATATGGAAACCTTGGAGGAGACTTCCTCGGTGAAGCGCCGGAGACAGCGAAGTTCTCGAAGTATCCCTTCTAGATCTTCTGGGTGAAGTAGACTTGGAGCCACTTAGCCTTCAGCGACCATCAGCGAAGGTGTCGAAATCAAAGCCCGATTAGTATATATATATATATATATATATAAATATATATATGATGCGCTTGTTTAAGTGAACAGCCTCTGTGTTTAACAGGATGTGGGATGTGGCGGCTTGCCTAAAGTATGGCCGCATGGATCATCTTATCATATTCAGAAGTCGTGTTCTACGAAGTCTGGTGATAAGTGTCTAATTGATCGTTCTAGATCTATTTAGGCCAGCGAACATCACGTCTGCGTCATGGATTCAACAGAACCAATATCGATTGTAGTTCTTATACTTGATATCGATGATCAACTTGTCTATGGGTTGATCTTCTCGGAGACTTGTGAGGGAGCGTTGATAGTTTCGCGAAGCTCTTGTATAGTCCCTCGATGTCCTTCTAGATGATGATGATCTGGATTCAGGTGTCGCCGGCGCATGCCTTCGCGAAGCTTCCTCTCGTCGGTCCGGAGGCAGCGATATGACCTTCAGCGAAGGCTTCCGCGTGATGTCTGATGGTCGAGTCCACATCTAGGGATGAAACCGCATAAGGTGATGATCTATCCTGCCTTAGCAAGTCCTTCGCGAAGGCTGTACATCTAGGTTCTTTCGCCGCGAAGGCTGTACATCTAGGTCCTTTCGCCGGCGAAGGCGCCAGCGAAAAGCTGTACATCTAGGTCCTTCCCGTCCAAGGTGGTCCGTGACTTCCTTAGCGAAGGTGACATCGTCCTGGCTGCTCGTTGGCGGGGGTGCCTCTGGGGTGCTGTCTCACGTTGGAGCCTTCGCTGAAAACTCGGACCCTGCTACCGCCAGATATTGGTCCTCCATGATGTTCATAATTTGTCGCATCATGTCTTCTGGGATGGTCTGCGGCGAGTTCGTCGGTGCTTTATCTGCGGTGTTAATGGAGGGTCCACGGAAAAATCGTCCGACATCAGTGTAGAGGCATCAGGCTGCATGGTGATCTCTGCTGATGTCGTTGTAGCTGTCCCCGGTGCGTTTCTTGTGGCGATGCGTCGGGGATGATGATCAGCTGATCATCGTAGAGGTCCAGGTCATCGGCTGGAACAATCTCGGTTTGAGAAAGTCCTAGTAGACTTCGTTGATTTTCCCTCAGAGGTCGGCGCTGCCCTGGGTGTCGCGGCGTCTGCGTTGAGTGTTGGTAATGATGGGACCCTCAGGGCGATCGCCATATCTCGCGTTGGTACATCAGGCTGCATGCTGATCTGTGCCCGACATCGGTCAATCTTTGATGTACATCGGTATGATGACCGGCTGATCATCATACAGACCCAAACCGATGGGAGCGGTCACGTTTGTTGAGATGTAGTAGAAAAACCCTCTAGTCTTCTGCTGCGGCGATGGGATGTCTGGGGAAGCAGAATGCTTCTTGGAGATGGCGGACTCGTCCCACCTCTCTCCACCACTCTAGCGGAACACCACACGGGGAGGAGAGTCGACCAACAGCAGTAGACTGGCGAGGGTTCCGTGTATCAGTCATACTAGACTCTGCATCACGACCTATCTGCTCAATGGCGTGCCAAGCGCCAAAGTAAATATTAATAAAGAGGTAGAATTGGATAAATTAGTACCGCGCAACTGCAATAATGAATATAATAAACATGGCGCCGTACATCATATTAAAGGTGGATCAGCAGCAGCATAAAAAAGCGTAATCTGCAATGAGTACAGAATTTTTCATCAGCGTAATCCACTGAAACAAACCGCGTCCGTGTGAATAAACTGTAGAAAAAGCGACTAAATATCAATATATAATCGTTGAAGGATACTAGCTAAACCTCTATAGATGTCTATCACGAGGTAACTAACTAAATATAATCAAAGGATATAGTGTGTCGGAGACACAGGCTCTCCGTCCAGCTCACTGGAAGAAGAAGGAAGAGTGAGGAGGCACATGGGTAGAGGTGGCGCCCTCGTTCACGCGCTTGTGGAAAGGAGGTAACTCGTGGTGAATACTAATTAGTGATTTTAAATTGAAGGGAGCTTCAATTAGGGAGATACAAGTGTTCCACTATGTTCGCAAGAAGAAGAAGACAAGCAAAAAGAGCATGAGTCAGGATAAGGAAAAATTGAAAATATTTTGTGCACATATCTTATTGCTTTTTTTGGCAGACTTTCAAACTCTGAAGTAACAATGTTATCTCCTTGTCAAATAAATGAATTTTCAAAAACTGCAAAACTACTATAGTGTGATGAAAATATCGAATATATTAACATAACAATACTTTTTTCTGGAAGTATGGTAATTCGAACAAATCGATATTAAAAAATCTCATTAAATATTTTAAATCTATTCAAGTACTAATTCACTCTATTTTTCTGGATACAAGATGTGTATTTTAATTATAACTATAATCAATTATAATTTCTTCTAGATCTACTAAGTTCACCAAAAGCTGAATTCCACCGCTTTCAAGCTTTTTTACTTCGCTTTCTAGTCTTACCATTTATCCTGTAAATGAGACTGTAGTTGCCCTTTATTCACTGTATGTGGGTTTTTTTATGGAATGAATCATGGGTAATATTTAGGGGAATCCCCAACTTAATGAATGTTTTTCTATCTCACCTACTGAAGAACTCGCTATCCAAACTAGGATCGGTAGCTGAAGTTAGGACAGAGATAAGATCGTTTCAAGAATGGGTCTTATCCTAACGGTAGGATGTCCTAACTCCTGTCCTAACTAGTTAGGATCTGTCTTAGCTGGGACACTTTCGAGAATAGGCACCCTGATTACATTACATAATGAGGCACTGAAGGCCTCTGCTGACACAGAATCCCCACAGCAGGTTTGCTGCAGGGTGAGGTGAGGTGAGGTGAAATTGGGTTTAACGTTGTGCTTGAGAATATTTCGCTCATATGATGACGTGCATGCGTGTGTATGTGTATGTGCGGCTGCTTGTACTAGCCCAGACTTAAGCTGGTTTTATAGTGCTAGCCCACTGAGATACCATGCCGCAGTGAAGCATGAATACCCCACTCAGACACATTATACTGACTCCGAGCCGACCAGTCCTTGTTGTACCTATTAATGCCGAGCGCCAGGCTGGGACCAACAAGTACCATATTTTAACGTCTTTTGGTATGACGCGGTCGGGGATCGAACCCGCGACCTTCCGCTCTCCAGGAGGACGCTCTAACAACTACACCACGGAGGCGGTCTGCTGCAGGGTGGGGAATGGACATTAACTGGCAACGTAGTAAGACAGTTGGGCTTGACATAACTTTTAACACTTCATCAGTTGGCAGTTTCTGGCAGATCAGAAATAACTCTTTACATTTTATTATTTAGGTGTTTATTTGGCTCACATATCACAAATATGCCCTTACCTTTTGGTGTTCTGTTTGTGAATTCTTGGTCGAAGTAGAAGACTTCGTCGGTTTGCACCACAGCAGGTTTAAATGGGGGCATGACTGCACGTTTGTAAAGGTTTTCCCAGTCAATAGTGCTGAAAAATGGATGTTTCTTGATATCTTCTATCCCATTTGGCAATGACCCTGCAAAGGAAATTTGAACCATACATTCAATCTTATTTCTCTCTTAAAAAGAAAAGTACATTGACAGGATGTCTATACTTACATACACTTTCATGTAGAGCAAGGGAAAATAGTCCCATGAAAACAAAATACCTGATGTTGATTGAATATTGTCTGTTTCAGAATTAAGCTTACTGTCTTCTTAAACATACCAAAACATATGTATCATCACAATCATGTTTATGGCTGCCACAGGGTTACAATCCCAGACATGTTTGATCCCCTAACTGTACTTAATATGTCACTGATTAATGGTTCAAGAACTGTTCCAGCAATACGTCACTGATTCTCAAGTAAACTGACTTGACTTACAAAATGTTTTGCATGAAGGCCAATGACAATACCTTACAACTATTTACAGAGTGACTGTTGTTTAATGATGCAGCCAGCAACATGTAAGAAAGACAGTCCACTAACAGTTACAGATAAGTAACCTTGAGGAAACGTAAAATGAAGCAAATACAGTCAGGCCGCGTTAGTCCGGACCCAAATTCCCGCGATATCCGAACGGTAGCTAGTTGTAACCAATCTTGTTTACTACGTAAACTCATTAACTGTTGATTCATTAATCCGGTGCTTCACTCTCCGGATCCGGGTGTTAATTAGCGGTAACGGATTAGCTAATTACAGTTGATTTGCTTCATTAATCCTATGGTATATAAAAAAGGTTTCGATAATCCCCTTACCTCGTGAGCATCATTGATTAGCATTGATCTTCATTGGTAAACTTCAATGGTAAATGATAAGTGAGGTGACACTTCTGAGTTGAATATGTCGTTAATTTGTGATTTTAATCAAATAATAGGTCTCACTTGTGCAAACGCAACTGGCACTATCAAAACATGTATACGTTCTTATGTTCTGGTCTCGGTATGTCAAAGGGAAGTAACTATACTGTAGGGGTGTAAAATTAATAATGGTTTGTTTCAGTAGTCTGTACATTTCACTATCAGAACGCTTTTGATGAAAAACGGTAGTGTTCGGATTAATACAGCAGCCTGACTGTATATTTTGAAGAATTCTTACCCAGTCTGTTGACAGGATTTCTTTTAAACAATGCCCGTAATAAACTCTGAGCTTCTGGACTAAGAAACTGTGGCATGCCAAGTTTTGCCCTGAAATTAACAACAGGCAAGGTTAACTCACACATAGTGTGTCAAACACAGATATACGTGTAAATGATAAAATCAAAACCAAACAAACTTGCTGAATGACATGACAATATGCAGCCTGACCAGCGGATACAATCTAGTAGACTTTTAATGACATGCATAGGTTACGGAACACAATTCTAGATCTCCTTGCTTTGGGGAAAGAGATTACTTTTATAAAAAGTCTCTTACTTGAGAATTTGTGTCATCGTTTCTTTTCTGTTTGCACCTTGGAAAGGCAAAGCCCCTGTCAGCATTTCAAACTGGAAAGATTAAGCATATGGTGTGTTTATTAATAAAGACATTTGTTGTGAGCAATTGTGAATGAGTGACCATGTTGAAGCCATTTAAAGAGCACTACAAATGTAAGAATGCAAAATATATCCAGGACACATTATATTTATGTGAACATGTCTTTGATGCAACAAACTCATTATCACTTTTTGTTTTGTTTGTTGTCTAACAATGCAATCAGCAACATTCCAGCTACACAACGGTGGTCTACAATAGAAGCATGTCTGATTGGGACAAACACATGTTTGATACTGTCAGCAACATTCCAGCTACACAACGGTGGTCTACAATAGAAGCATGTCTGATTGGGACAAACACATGTTTGACACTGTGAGCAACATTCCAGCTACACAACGGTGGTCTACAATAGAAGCATGTCTGATTGGGACAAACACATGTTTGATACTGTGAGCAACATTCCAGCTACACAACGGTGGTCTACAATAGAAGCATGTCTGATTGGGACAAACACATGTTTGACACTGTGAGCAACATTCCAGCTACATAACGGTGGTCTACAATAGAAGCATGTCTGATTGGGACAAACACATGTTTGATACTGTGAGCAACATTCCAGCTACATAACGGTGGTCTACAATAGAAGCATGTCTGATTGGGACAAACACATGTTTGATACTGTGAGCAACATTCCAGCTACATAACGGTGGTCTACAATAGAAGCATGTCTGATTGGGACAAACACATGTTTGACACTGTGAGCAACATTCCAGCTACACAACGGTGGTCTACAATAGAAGCATGTCTGATTGGGACAAACACATGTTTGATACTGTGAGCAACATTCCAGCTACATAACGGTGGTCTACAATAGAAGCATGTCTGATTGGGACAAACACATGTTTGATACTGTCAGCAACATTCCAGCTACACAACGGTGGTCTACAATAGAAGCATGTCTGATTGGGACAAACACATGTTTGATACTGTCAGCAACATTCCAGCTACACAACGGTGGTCTACAATAGAAGCATGTCTGATTGGGACAAACACATGTTTGATACTGTCAGCAACATTCCAGCTACACAACGGTGGTCTACAATAGAAGCATGTCTGATTGGGACAAACACATGTTTGACACTGTGAGCAACATTCCAGCTACACAATGGTGGTCTACAATAGAAGCATGTCTGATTGGGACAAACACATGTTTGATACTGTCAGCAACATTCCAGCTACACAACGGTGGTCTACAATAGAAGCATGTCTGATTGGGACAAACACATGTTTGACACTGTGAGCAACATTCCAGCTACACAACGGTGGTCTACAATAGAAGCATGTCAGATTGGGACAAACACATGTTTGATACTGTGAGCAACATTCCAGCTACACAACGGTGGTCTACAATAGAAGCATGTCTGATTGGGACAAACACATGTTTGATACTGTCAGCAACATTCCAGCTACATAACGGTGGTCTACAATAGAAGCATGTCTGATTGGGACAAACACATGTTTGATACTGTGAGCAACATTCCAGCTACACAACGGTGGTCTACAATAGAAGCATGTCTGATTGGGACAAACACATGTTTGATACTGTCAGCAACATTCCAGCTACACAATGGTGGTCTACAATAGAAGCATGTCTGATTGGGACAAACACATGTTTGATACTGTGAGCAACACCTGTTCCATTAAGTTACCAGGGATCTTTTCAATCTGCCCTTTTAAAAGACAGACACCGTTTACCTACCATGAGGACTCCATACGACCACCAGTCAGCCGCAGTGCCGTGGCCCTTCCGGTTGACCACCTCTGGTGCCATGTACTCCACTGTCCCGCAGAAAGAGTAGGTCTTCTTCTCATCAAAAATTGATTCTTTGCTAAGGCCAAAGTCTGTTAGTTTTATATGGCCTTCACTGTCCAATAGTATGCTGTAAGTATAGAGTAACATCTGTTATCAAAAGCATACTAAGTGAAAGTGAAAACAGTACTTTTTACAGCAATATGGATATGGCTTGAATATGTTAGTGTAATCAGTCTTCTTTGTAGATATCACTGGGCACAAAAAGACATGAACATACAGTCTCTTCTGCTGCAAACCAAATTTTCCATGGGATTATAAAACTCCAGAAAGGGGGAACGAAGCCTGTATCGGCGATGTTACATTATGGAATATATGGTAGAATAATACATATAAATTATATATATATATATATATATAGGTGACGGATAAAAATATCTACACGATATATACACGGTAGGAAATAATTTAGAAAACGTAGCAAATACGCACCACACCAATTGTGTACGGTCTTAGAATCATTTACAGACATATTTATCTGAAAAAGTATTGTTAATTGTTTATTGACGGCTTACACCAGAGTAGCAATGCTGTCATGCATATATGAAATGAAGCACACGTTTAATGATACACCATTAAATTCCATTCAGTACTCTAAATGTACTCTTATTGTTTTCCAGTACTCATATATTGAAAAATAAAGGAGTACATACTCCTGATGTTGAAAAATTATCTGGAGCCCTGTTATCTGTGTTTATGTCATCTTATCTCAGGGCTCCAGAAAGGGCGATATCGGCGTGATTGCATCGCGTCCCCAGGCTAATGTGACTGCATCAGAAAATATGATTCTCCATCATCCCTCGCCAAAGTCTCATCATCTGTTAATAAATTGTAAGATGCTCTTCGACTCGCGTGTAGATAAAAAATATACACGCGAGTCCATATCTATCACGGTAGGAAATAATTTAAGCGTAGCAAATGCACCACACCAATTGTTAATGCGGTCTTAGAATCATTTACAGACATATTTATCTGAAAAAGTATTGTTAATTGTTTATTGACGGCTTACACCAGAGTAGCAATGCTGTCATGCATATATGAAATGAAGCACACGTTTAATGATACACCATTAAATTCCATTCAGTACTCTAAATGTACTCTTATTGTTTTCCAGTACTCATATATTGAAAAAATAAGGAGTACATACTCCTGATGTTGAAAAATTATCTGGAGCCCTGTTATCTGTCATGCTATCCTGACAATGTTTTGTTGGTTTGTTTGTTGTTTAATGCCACGTATAAAATAATATTCCAGTCAAATAACACTGTCTGCATATAATCAGCCATGACAATACAATCTAGTAGGTACAAAGGCTCACAATCAACCAATCAATTCAAGCAGTCGCTCATAACAAGAAACCCTGGCTGTTGGCAGATTTATATATAGACTCCGAGGCCTCAATTCTGCCCAGTATTCGGTAGCAACTGCACTGTCAACATATGTATTGTCAGTAGTCTTAAGGATCAGTAGATTGAAAAACTTCTAGTCCTGTTGGATGTCTTGCGGTCTGGATAAAAAAAATTCATACGATAATAATTCACATTTCCTCATTCAAAGTTTGGAGATTTTCATTTCTCTTTTCAGAGAAATAAACTAAAAACAACACCCCAAAAGTAGCATGTGACTACTCGAACAGATCTTATTTCATTCTGTTGCTTGAGAGAGACTACTAGTGTTATAAAGCTCCTTACTTTTCTGGTTTGAGGTCCCTGTATATTATTCCAACTCCATGGAGGTGGTCCAAGGCTAGAGCAAGCTCTGCTAAGTAGAATTTCACATCTTCCTCTGTAAACATGACCTGAAAATAGTAACAAAGGAGAATATTCAAACACAGTTTTACAACTTTAATATCAAGTATCGTTGCCCTCACCCAATACACAACAAGAGATGGGTTTCCTACTGAACCAGGGATAGAAATTCCACTCGTCCGCTCGTATTGACGAGTAAAATTTGTTTCGGGCAAGTGAAAAACAAAATTTGCTCGTCCTAGAGGAAGAGTACATTTTCTGGCCCAAAAGTAACATTTTTCTTTTTTTCCTTGATGTTCAGCTATCTTAAATGGTGAACGAATTCAATTTTGTCAAAGACTTTGTTCAGACAACAAAGTAGGTAATGTTTATTGTAGTTTTATTCCAAGCAAACATTTTGAAATAAAATAACGTAAATTTATATTCATTGTAATGCGTGATCTATAGGGAAAGTACAATTTTAGAAAGATGAGCGGAAAGTTCAGATTTTTTAATTTTCGAGCCCTGTGAACCCATGTGGAGAATCAACGTGTGTAATCACAGCAATGACCCAACACTTGGTTACAATACCACTACCCCTATATCAGATGACTTATGGGCCTGATGGTTAGGACATACAAATCAACTTTTGATAAGAATTTTTTGGTTTGTAGTTTGGGGCTTACTCAGACTAATTATCATACAAATAGTATCTTACATTGATTATGATTCAAAAACATGTTCACCATTAGTTTTATCACAGGATAAAATATGCATGTAGCCCTATCAATCGTTGATTAGTATACTGAGAAAGAATGACCACATGACCCCTTTTACTTCTTACACGAGATTGGCGTGATCATCTGGTTCATTTACTTATGTTCGAGGCCATGCTACCTACCTCCTTAGAGAGACGTGTGAATAGGTCCCCTCCACGAAGAAACTCCAAAATCAAGTAGAGTTTGCCTTCTGTTTGAAATGCTGTAAAATAGAGTGAGTGAGTGAGTTTGGCTTAAAACCACTCTGAACAGTATTCCATTATCATCATAGTTCGTCACCATGATCTTGGAGGTTCACCAAACACCAGTGTGATGCTTGGCAAAGATGGAATCAAACCCATTATTTAGGCATGCCAGAGGGATGCAACGCTGCACAGTAAATTTGCCCGAGACAACACTGCTACCCTTTCCCCTCTGTGAACTAGAAGCAATACAATATCAACACACTATTTAAATTACTTTCTAAATAGATGAAGGTATTGACTGAAAGACTAGTTTTAATGTGAACAGTAATCTAGTGGTATCAGTTTGAGGTTGGAGGAAATATCAATGGAAAGCTTATGCATATTCCAGCAATATCACAGTAGCCAGTATATATACTGCGGGAAATAAATAAGGGAACACCACTTCATCGCAGTGTTGCATTATTTATTCTCAGATTTTCACCACAGTGCAATACAAAGCTTGTGAAGAAATCTGGAAACAAAATAAAGGAACACTTTAACTTTCATGTGTTCCCTTATTTGTTTCCTTCAGTATATATAGCGGTTGCTGTGAATTAGTTAATGCACATACATTATGTAACTCAACAGCTCTGACAGAACTTTAGGATTGAGGTGAACAACTTTACAGAATACATGTGTAAAATTCATTTAGGTAAGACATTTTTCCTAAATTGTATACTCATTCCCCTCAAAACGTGTGTGCAAAAAAACCCATAAAACCTGAAAAACATGACATTATTAAGTTTATTAATTACATGTTCACCACAGAGGTGTACATACAATGTTATTTTGACCTAAAAAGTGCTATTCTTAACATCACGTACCATAGTGTAAGTGAACAATGAAAGGATGATTTACATCTGCCAAGATGTCTCGTTCCATTTTTGTCCTTTGTCGATCTCGGACTGAAAAAAAACATCAGCATATAAGTGATAACAATACTTATTAAAAGCTAATATATATGAGGAGGAATCACACAAAACCAACAGATGTAACCTTTGTCAAAATCATAAAATATAACATGTAAAGGGATGTTCAATAATGTATTCTGAAAGGTTTCAAGATGATATTATTATCAAAAATCATTATAGGCTGTTATACTCGAAAACTACTAAACATGTAATACTCAATGAAATACTGATCATAATCAAAACATCTGACCAACTCTGTGATTTTTTTTCAGAATTTATGTCCTAAAAATAAAAAAGTTATTTAACAAACTATCATTAAATCTGGACAGTTCACTATTTGTTACGAGGGAGGGGTGCAAAGGAAGGAACAACATTTATCAACCACCCTTTGGTAGATCATGTGCACAAATAGACCATGCCCCTGTATGTCACCACGTCCTCGTTACAGATAATCTCCTGATACATCATCTCCAGGCAGACCATCCCTTAGTAGACCATCCCTTGATAGATCATCTAGCGGTAGCCTAAGTAAACTTAGGCTCAGGATTATTCGTTACACTGCTATACTGAGTCTAACAAAAACAATATTTAAAAAAATCTGCATGAAACAGAGATATCTGACCTGCAGTATATATGCTTAGGGGTTTCTGATGATGTGGTTACTATTAACTTATATTTCTGCAAGATGACATCCTGGAATATGGACAAAAACACAATTTTCAGCGACTGTTTACTCATTGTTGTGAATAATGGTATCCTCCATGTGTATCAATTGAGAAGCGATCGTGCAGAAAACAGCATTCGGAATCGTTCAAGTTTTCAAAGTAAAGGTTCAAACGGTATGTGCGAATGCTAACTTTCACAATTTGTTAAGCTGTATTCTGATTGGTCAATTCAAAAGGTTAGCTGACACGACCTTCTACTAGGGTTTGTTAGACTCAATATAGCAGTGTAACGAATAATACTGAGCCTGAGTTTACTTAGACTGGACCATTCCCTAATAGATAATCTTGTGACGGATCATTTCACTTGTAGTTACCAGGTAGACCATCTCCTGGTAGATCATCTCTTGATAGATCATCTCATAATAACCCATCATCCAACAAGTCATCTCCAAGTAGAACATCCCCTAACAGATCATCCTGTGGTAAACCATCCCCTGACAAATCATCTGGTGGAAGACCATTCCCTGACATCTCCAGGTAGAAAATCATCTGACAGATCGCCACTAGGTGGACTCCCATGATGTCTGTACGTACCTTTAAGTGTGGCTTTCTTCAGGACCTTCATAGCATACAGAGTCCCAGCATCATCTCCTGTTATCTTCCTCACAAGGAAAACCTGGCGAAAACAATGTTATACCTGAAGCCTGAGACTTATAGTGTGCCTATTAATGTGAAGCACACACTCATCTTGATCATGTCTGTAACAATGCTCAAAATCATGCTTCTCTGTTCTGATAGATTAAACTAACAGACCAAGCATGAAGTTTGAAATCAAAGTGGCCACAAAATAACAAATGTCACAAATGTAACAGTGTAAGATTTTTTTAACATTCCATTCAGTACTGAGGTACAGAAGCCATCACTCATATTGATGGTACTAAAATAAAGAGAACAAAACACTTTCGACAGTCACAACACGTCTGCTTATCGGTTCACTGGACTACTCATTCATTCATTCATTCATTCATTCACTACTCGCAAACACTGTATCAAGCTGTCAATTGGTGAAGTTGTTTAAGCAGGAAGTGAGGACACAATTATGCATGACCAATACATTATTGCCATTTTTTTTCCTGATTACTCACAGTAATATTTTCCTGAATATCTGGAGTCGCATTTGAAAAAAAATAATAAAATAAATAAACAAAAAAAATACCTTATTTCAGACAAAATAACCAATTCCCTGGAAACAAAGTACCTCATACTTGCAGTGTTCACGAATAGTGTCTGACCCTCTGACAAATCTGGCACATTTGCCAACGGTCCGATAGAAGTCTACAACATGCCGGCCCCAGTGTCTGACTGTATATTTCACAATGACTTTGACTGAAGTTGTTATATGTGACATGTAACACTTGTTTGCTGTTTATAAATATTATGTTTGTTAATAATTTCAATGCCAATTATAAGAAATGTTAAATCTGAAATGTGTGTTTAATTTTATTCTATGGGTCCTGTGAATTTTCAATGGGTCAGACAGTCATCTGAAACTTACAGGACCCAATGTCCTGTTACTTTGAAACACCATTCATAAACACTGTAATACTTGAGCCCAAAATTTAATGCCTTAAATATGAATGAATTGATGCATGTAGGAGTATAACATATGTTACTATTGTTACATTTGACCACTTTCTAAAAAGGCATTGTGTATTTCATAGCTGAATATATAGACGAACATTGAACAAGATGATAACAGCAAACAAAAATACCATGACTACATTTTCTTTAGAACTGATCAGACAAGCAACACACATTTCTGCTTACTGTGTTCACACTTATCTTAAATCACTAGATATGTTCTCAATAATTGTTACGTACTAATCAACATAGATACAGTGCCAAGACATTTCATGCTGTCTCCTAACATGACAACATGTTTGTTGTCAAACGCACTCAGCAATATTCCAACTAAATGGTGACGGTCTGTAAATAATCGAGTCTGGACCAGACAATCCACTGATCAACAGTATGAGTGTCAATTTATGCAACTGGTATACGATGACATGCATCAACCAAGTAAGCAAGCCTGGCCACCCGATCCTGTTAGTCGCTTTGTACAACAAGCATGGGTTGCTGAAGACCAATTCTAACCCAGATCTTCACAAGTGTCAACAAAATGAAGCTATGTATACTTCAATTCTGTGGAAGTTTGGAATACTATTCTTCTGACAACATATCCAAGCAATAGGTCACACTTACACCCCACATATATTCATGTTAAGTGTAAGGAAAAGCTTGTCCTGAGTTCCCATGTGAATCCTACTGTACATTCAGAAAGTTCTCTTCCCATGCGTTGGTTAATCCTACTTTACATTTAAAAAGTTCATTTCTCATGTGTTTGTCAAATATAAAAGTACTTTTTCCATCAGCCACTTCCTAAAACAGTTTGTTGAAAAAATCATCAATATTTTCACTGAGCCTGTTTTTCAACTACGAAATAATTGTTAAATGTGTCATGACAATTAAGCCTGGGTCATTGCATTCTAACTTCAATAAAGGGATACTCAAACCCAGGATGCAGATAATTCAATCACATTAATGATACCCAAACTGCATCTTATCTCTCAAGGCTTATTCTTAATAATGTGTGTTATCCAACTGCTTCCTTCTTTTTTTTATCCATAAATGAACTTCCTTGAACAATAATTTCTCATTTCATTTGTTTTCTTAATGGCTACATAACAACTATGTTTTTAGGTTTAGATTGGATTTCATGACTTTTGTAGAGGAAGTGTCAAAATTGACAGCACCATGCACGATGCAAAAATGTCTCTTCGATTAGTTATTTTAAGATATATTCTTACAATAATGACTGTATTTGTTGAAGTTATAAAATAATCATGACATCTGAAACCTATGTCATCATGGATGACGCATGTCCTTCTCCACCATGTGAGAACTCCCAGTTTATTCACTGGTCAATCCAACATCCACTCCACTGATCTCATCTGAATATTTCAGAGCATTAATTGTTAACTTAAGCATAACATTGTTTAGGAAGATGATACTGAAGCTGTATATCACCTCCATTATTTTGGGGAAACTAACATTAAAAATTGGGGAATAGTAAGGCTAGCACTTATAATTTTGTTTTCAGGGCACATTTGTAGACAGCTGCTGTGGTGAAAATGAAAGATTTATGACAAACAATGCAGGAAGCTGTGAGTTACATAGGGGATATATACATGCGTTTAATTAGATCTTTTACAGATTACAACAGATCAGGAACAAGTTTACCAACCATCTCTTTAGTATGGGGTTATGTGGTGCTGTGTTATGGAGCAAGTCTTTATGTATAGTTGAGAATATTATTGCCCCAAGTGCACTAATACATCTTGACAAAATCAATAAAAACAATTTATCATGAACCATCACTGAATTCAAATGGTTTCCCTTGAAATAAAAACACACCTTGCCCTGTGGGAAGGTAATGGAATTACTGACTGTGTACATAAACACCATTCAATCTTGAAACAGAAGAAAACTGAATGGCTAGGAAAAGCACCAGTTACTCTTTATTTTCCCATTACAAAGCTGGAGTAAAGAAAAGGCTAATTTTATGTTCAGGCTTGTGGTCATGTTTCTGTTTACCTATGCACTATATATCTGTCACAGGTATATATATAGTTTTAATACCACTGTTGGTGTATACAGTTAATATCTGCTAGTGAATATATACAGTTATATCTCCTTCCTTGGCTTCCTGCATCAAGAACTCCGCCACGCTCAACATGTAACTGTCATCTCCAACCGCGGGATAGATTCCACAAGATTGTATATCTCACGTCCAAAACGGAAATGGATCAATATCATAACAACATGCGACATGAATCAATGGCTCCGCTGCCATTATCCTGGGCCTTGTTGACAATTAGTCTTTTGTCTCAGACAAAAAGATGCTTCCAACATCCTAGATCGGAAATTACTTGTATTAGTTATTTATCCAATAATTTGGCCAGGTTCTGACCACCAAAACCTCGTATTTCTCTTAATATTCTACCTGAATTAAGCAGTCAAAGATTCATGTTATTTAGAAATCTACTCATAAGATTGTGTGTGATATATTCAGTGGCACCAGTGATTCTTCAGTATCATTTATCCCATTGTCAGAAACTTTCTACTTGATACATTTCCAAAATTCCAAACTCTTTTCACCTTTGACATGTAAACTCAGTAAAATCATTTTCCTAAAAAGAGTCAATGAATTAATAAAAACAAATGGTTAAAGGTCGATATATTCACCAATTTCTGTCTGTGGTGAAAGCATCTTTGTGCTACCAAACCTGGAACCCACAATTATAGCAAAAGATTCCAGTACAGAATGAAAATCATACCATTTATAGCTTTTGAATGTTGTTTCATTGAAAAACAATGCAATGTCTCAAAAGAAAAGGAATGTTTTGGTGGCAAAATGTAATATTTGTTTGTAGTTTCCTTGCTTGTTCCTAAGCAGTGCACTCAGCAACATTCCTGCAATGTGATAATGGTTTTGTAAAATATTAATTCTGAACCAGGCAATCCAGTGATTAACCTCAGGAACACTGATCTATGATGGAATATGATGGTATACATCAACCAAGTCAGCAAACCTGACCCCCAGTTCCTCTTAGTCACTTCAAATAACAAAACATGGCTTGCTGAAGACAAAATCCAACCTTGAGATAAAAATACTGTTGTCAAATGATGTAGAGGTATGGGAGTATATAGCTGCCCCTTGCCAGAGTGGGAAATTAAGGGGAACCAAGTGCTCCTTGAGATTTGCCACTTTGTATTGTATAGGACTGTTACGATTCACTTATGTATTTAGTGACTCGAACCGTATCACTTCATACATTCAATTTGTTATTCACAATCAGGGCAATCTAAAATTCATTAATGTTTTTAACAAGGAGTGTTATTTTCTAAAGCAATATACAAAATACAAAATATACAAAATGGAATTATATCCAAGCCAGGATGGATAATAGTCAATATCCACGTTTAATCTGACAGATAATGTTGTTACTGGTTACTCTCGTGATAAATTAATACTGTCAACATGGTCAAAACTGTCAAAGAATTTATTTTGGTATTGTTTCAGTGGACATAATGAATAATACATTAACTGCTTCCTTGTTCTTGTATACACTACCCAATTTGTTCCAAACTTAATATTCAATGTTGGGAACCCCACAGTTTGCAACACTCAACATTAGGGTTACGACAAACAGGGTGCTGTTTTACAAAACAACCTTAGTGCTTAGACAACCTTAAGTCTATGTTAAGGTATGGGAGATGCGGACACCTTGGTGCTAAGATTGCTTTGTACAATGGCATCCTGGACCCTCATGCTTAATTTCAAACACTGCAGGTTTTGTTTCCTCCTTTGTCTACAATATGCATACCTAGGGAAGGAATAGGCAACCAAAATATGGCTGAGACAAGACTACTGTGTCACACTGTAACAAACAGCTCATTACCAGCTAAGGAAGACAATGGGTTGTCACGACTTGACAACATACATCCATTAGGCCAGTAATGTTGCAAAATTCATTACACACAGCCCCAAGAATTAACACGTTATTTCCTGTGGGGTACAGAAATAATGTGACTAATATTAAAGAACGCTCATAGTGGTACAGTCAGCTCTCGTTAATCCAACACTCATTAATCCGACAATCACGTTAATCCGACAAAATATTACGGAACCATTTAAAACAGTGATAATAACTCGCGTAAATCCGACATTCTCGCATTCCGACTACGACACACCAATCTAGCAACTGATTATTGTAAATACATTGTAGAAACATTTGTTAATCCGACAATCAACACAGCCGGTCAGATGATCCGAACGTATACAAACAAATACACGTGAGTGTAATTAGCGTGTGCCTTAGTGGCTGCTTGACACCAACAAAGGTGAACATCACACTTGTTAATTAGGAACACAGGATAATTAATTGAGATGAGAATCAAGAAATAAGAGTAGAGAGAGCTGTATAAAATGTTTACAACCGACATGAGTTATCGTCACAAGATGTCTGTCACGAGTACACCACCTGCTAAGCGAGCCCGAGTAGAAGTTACGCCATTGATCAAGAAAGAAATCTCCGTTTGAAGAAAGACAAACCGCAGACAACACAACAGGTAATCATGGAGTGTTATTGATACAGAAGAGGAAAATATGGACATATACTGCTCAATAAAAGTTAAACAACTAATTCCTTAATATTACTGCATTTAATCAGTCGTGGCATGACAGTTTAATTAAAGTTATAGGAAAGAATCAAGTGTCATTTAGAGTAGTGTATTTGGAACATTCTTTCTCATCATCGTTCATCTAACTGGTGTGTGGTCCTGTGCATACAGCTCAGGTCACCAATCAGGTAAAGTCAAGTAACTTTGGGCCAAGAGAGTCCGTGGATGGATGACCGTGTTTGGCAGCTTGACTCCTGAGAGTATCTAAGATTCAGTCCTGCCCCACAAAGCACATGTGATACAAGTGGTCTCACCTTAGGCAAGTGAGTTTGTTCAAAATTGCTTCTGTTCACTAGTGTTGGGAAATATGTTGTTTTACAATCGATAGTTATTTTTAATCCTCCTTTCGATCGATTTTCGATCATCGGAACACCACTACTGTTCACCCAGTACCAAGTGGGATAAGTCATATGACTATAATCTTCTAGTGCCTAACATGCAGCTTGGGTTATCCAGGGTAACAATGTGCTGTGTTATTCATTGTTAGCACAATCAGCATACCTTGTGAGGAGTTTGGCACTATATAAATCATTATTTATGTTATCTATTTGCAGGTTTTGTCAGTGAGAGCCCATTATGCCAATTCAATGCAATCCATTTTAGCCCTATGTACACTGAAAAACATTAAAATATTATACTTGATTTGGATAAAAATGAAAATTGAAATGCACTAGTCATGATATTGACTTGGTTAAAAAAGATTTAGGGTCAGGGTGGGTGGGGTGTGGGCAGGGGGTTTGTTGTTAAGGATAGGGTCAGTCGGGTTACTGGAAACGGACATATTTTATTTTTTATATATATTTTTTATTTTATTTATTTATTTTTTATTTATTTTTTTTTTTTGGGGGGGGGGGGGACCTAAACCTATTTCAATGATATATTACTGTAACTTTCAATATGAACTCGAGGGTTCTGCAGCAGTAACAGTAGAAACTTGGTCTATGGTCTAGGAAGAGAAGAAACGTACACAGCTGATTGGTACTTCTGGCTCTATTTATGAGACAAATACGCATTGTAATCTTAATCCCTGCATATAATACTATGCAGAGCAAACACAAAATACAGCTGAAAAGGTAAATCATCCCATATAGCAACATCTCCCGTCAGTACGAATTGCATCCTCACACTTATCTGTAAACATATTAAAGATCTAAAGGTATCATGTTAAATGTGAAGCCTGGATTCAGTTGGATCTCACACAGTATTGCAAGCACTCACCTTTCCAAAGGAACCCTGTCCCAAAACCTTCAACAGCTCAAAGTCAACAGGTTCAGCTCTCACACCTTCTTTCTTCACTGTAGTCAACTCTAATTCAATTTCACAGTTGTCATTCTGAAACAAACATAGATATTCAATGCAACATCTCAAACGAATCAACTAATTAATTAGTCCAAAGTATTTCCTTGATGATATCATCAGGGTTCCCTTTAACAGAATTCTCACCATCACCAAGAGCAAGTTCACCATAAATTAAGTATTGTCCAATTTGACCACAAACTCAAGCATAGACCAAAATATTTCATTTTACCTTACAAAAGTTCATCCAACTTGACCTTAGAGTCAAGAAGGATGGGATGCATCCAGCTTTTCAATAAACTTGGCCAGTTGACACACTGATTTTAGAAAGTGAGCCAACACCTATCTGAATTATGTGAATATGGGCCAACATGTTTTGTGATTTTTAACAAGTTTATGACCTCACTTAACTGAGCACTCTAGGGAAAGGCAAACTCTTGATCATGCTCAAGAATTCCAATCGATTGTTTGACTTTGACCACAGACACCACTGGCTATTATGATAATTAGCGCTGATTATTTTCGGGTTCCAAATACAAGTCACAGTATGTGAATGACAAGCTAATTACTAATGTGTTGTTCATATTGTTATTTTAGTTCAAATTATATATTTTGGCACTAGGTCAACAAAGTGTGCCAGCACAACTTTATTTGCATGAAATTTGGCGCATTGACCTAATGAAGTAATGATAACTGCACATATCCCACAATCTCTCAACCTGGATGCATAACTGAAAAGATTTCATTTGATCATAAAATCACTTCATCCAAAATACAATCAAGCATGTTGCACAATGCAATCTCAAATGGAAAACTCTGTGAAAATGGTGATGTCTGGTTGTTGTCTTAATAAGCATTTGTCATGTCAAGCGATTTTCCATCAATATGACAGCAGGGACACACTGATAATGGCTTAAAACACACTAACTATGTGAAAACTTCCCTGCTTAACACTTAAATCACTAGGTTACCCATACACCTTACAGGGCTATTGTGGTTTGCTGTACAGGTTCAAACAACAAACAGTCCTATAAAAGAAGCACAAGGCCATGCCAATGACAGTGCCATTTCCACCTCACACTCAACTGAGCAGGGTCATACATAGTCAGTCAGTGTGAACTCGACAGATACAAACAGCAATAGGTACATCAACATTGCCCAGTCATCTCTTTACCAAGAAATACTGTCAGGTCTTTCAGTCTGAGTGTTGAAATTTTAATCATTTCCAGTAAGATAAGTTAAGATTGACAACATGTCGCGTCTTTTTGAGATGTGGTGATTATGAGAGAATATCGGATGCTAATGAAACTTAAATATGTGAACTGCCATGGTTTGACGTTGGACCTCTTTCTGTAAAAAGTAGGCAAATTGGCCAAGTTCGATGTCTTGTGGAAGTATCATTGCATGTGAATAGACCTTTGTGGAGATTACAGGTTTGAACTTGTCTCCATCAAACTATGCTGGTCACAAAAGGCAACCAAATGGGCTTGTTGGTCAGGCTAAATGACAAGGTTGATTGCATGTCATTGTACACAAATATGTGGCTCATCAGTCATCGTACTGATCACTAGATTGTCTGATCTAGGTCAATCTATTATAGCTGAAATAATGCTGAGTGTGGCTTCAAACTGATCAAATGGATGTCATGAAGAAGGTTCTTCCCATGCACTTGTTCCTGCATGCTGTCGCAATGGAAAATACATGATTCTTTTTTTTTAAAGTTTGTTTAAATTTTCAACTTTGGTCATCTTTTACTTTGATAAGCCATGTCTTTATAATATAGGTCTTCATGCAAGTAAAAGATGTGGGAGATGACTGTCATGATTAATAACATCTAGCGAGGCTGGCAGACAGAACAATTTGATGATTAATTCTTTGTATGTAGGGCTAACACACAGAGAAACCCCACCATGACTGCCCTGAACATGTGTATCACCATCACTGTACTCAATACCATCATTGGGGAAAACAGGCCAATCTTGGTCAGTTAAAGTGCAGCTACATCATAGCAAGAGACATTTTGCATTCATTTGTGTACTGTGCCATGGCAAACTGAGTCCCAGGATGTTTCTACTATCAAGTAACCTTCCAAATCACAGCTACCCCATGATCCAAACCAACTTTATATCCAATGCATGTAATGTGCACCCTGATGTCCATCACATGTGACAAGAACCCTGATATCCATCCCATTGTTACAAGCATACTGCTATCCATTACATGTGGCAGGCACCCTGATATCCATCCCATTGTTACAAGCATACTGCTATCCATTACATGTGGCAGGCACCCTGATATCCATCCCATTGTTACAAGCATACTGCTATCCATTACATGTGGCAGGCACCCTGATAGCCAATTCCATTGTTACAAGCACACTGCTATCCATTACATGTGGCAGGCACCCTGATATCCATTTAATGTGACAGGCACCCTGATATCCATCCCATTGTTACAAGCATACTGCTATCCATTACATGTGGCAGGCACCCTGATATCGATCCAGTTGTAACAAGCACACTGATATCCATCCCATTTGACAGGCACCCCAATATACAAATGACAGTCAGATAAGAAATATAACATGAATGCCTTTCTAAATGAAACAATCTAATGAGAATACTCAATTTTATCACAAAGCTGTAAGGAAAGGCTATCACTACAATTTTCTTCCTGGCACAGACAGATAATAATTTTCAAAGCCCAGTGCATCTGCGATACTGTCATTAATCATATTGGCTACCAACTTCCCACTTTGAGTATCCAGTCATGATGAGCAAAGTGTACATGGGACTGATTCTACTAAGAACTGCCACCGGGAAGAACATTTGTCACTGTGTCAAGTAACATTCACTGCTATATATCACCATGCCAGTATACCCTCACTATAACCTGAGTGCTGGATAGTTCTCATGGTAAAGATCATTGAAGAGGCACACTGCAGTTGCCCTTTATCATCCATTAATCATGATAGGAACTAGGAGCAAACTCAATTACATAGTAAAACCAGAAAGGCTTAGTGACGGATCTTACACTCTTCAGGATTACATCTACATCACAGTTGTATCTGAACTCCATACATGGTGCACTTGGGATGACCATCCTTTTGCAAAAGTGGATAGCAAAATGAAAGTCTCAATAGAAACAGGCACCAGTTACACCATGAGAAAGTTTAAGAGTCAAGGTTCAAATGAAGGTAAGGATCGTCTCCAGAGCCTAAGTCCAACTTCTTACGTTTGAAATGCTACAGAAAATACACTACAGTCAGTTGGATTTTCACACTCTTAATATTAAGGCTTCACTGTTTCAAAGCTTTATTAGCAATTGCTACAAAAAGATGCCAAATTCTTTTAAGCAATCAGTCTACAACTGAAGCTGACGATAGAATACAATGCACATGTCAGGCCTTGGATTTCCCCATCCTAGGTTTATTACCAGTTTCATCTCATCTAAACACAGCAACAGTACAACTCTGTAATCTGTCACAGTAATCACCATTAATTACTTACATCAGCTTTGCGCTGACATTTCCACAGTGAATTAATTAAAGCAACTCCATTTTCTATAAAGAGCCTGTACAACAAACCTATTTATGTGATAAGTCACTGGCTAAATGCCATACCACAACACCATGAACATAATATTTACACAAGTAACAATGTTATATTTACATGTTGCTTGGTCAGGTTGTGCCTGTATTTACAAATATTGGTTATGGGCATGCATAACTATCATTGAATTCATTGTTTGAGATTAAGGGGGGTTATAGGTGGGTGGGTGCTTTTGAAGTTTGCTTGCATGGATGGTGTTTGAACATAAGGACCTTTTACTCCATGACTGCAAAATTAGGAGTATCTTTCTCAGTTAAACTTCCACTGCCAAATGATGTGACATCTCACATAAATCCTTGGTGAATGAAATCACAGATATTGTCTTACAAAGCAACAATTTAACATTCACGATTATACCAGGGGACTCTTGGTAATACATTTTAGGGATCGAGACACGGAAATGTGGGTCATATTTGACATGTGGTATGCTACAGTTGATTTCCAAGATTTACCTTTGTCATGGTATCGCAAGTGTTCTAAAACCTGACAGCTTCAACTTGCGGATTTCTTGCCAGAAAAGAAATGTTAGTTACATTTATATAAACAACACGCCATCAACTTTTTGTATTCCAACAGCTACTCATGTGTCTCATACTAAATTTGTATATGGGATGCAATTCTCTGTATCTGCTGAAGCCCCTCAATATTACTTTTAAAGTTTCAGAATCTATCACAACAACACAAGCAGTAATAAGAACACATTTATGAAATCATTGTAAAGCCGTTCAGTAGAATTGTAACAAAGTGTAGTAAGCCTCTATATCCCAACAATAACACATGTCTGAATATTCCAGCAATATTATGGCAGGAAACACCAGAAATAGGCTTCATACACAGTATCCACGTGGGGAATCTAACTCTGGACTTAGTTAGGCCACCCCATCGTCCAACTCATCAACAAATAAAAGATCATGCATACGTACCTCACCAAGGACACATATTGATTTTTCCTGAGCACAGAAACAACAACTGAAACTACATAAGGGGAAGGACATTCACTCTTAAAAAAGTGCCGTTATGTTGATATACAGTAGAAACTACCATCCGTTATGAGTGTACAAGTTGCCATTGTTGAGGCACCGGTATATCATGGTGTATGTTCCACGCCCAATTCAATTGTTACCCTGAGATAAGTCGGCATTATAATACAATTAATTATAAGAAACTTGGCATGGTACACAAGTAAACTGAATCCAGCCTTTGTAAAACTAAGACAGTCCTTATGATGAATCCGACATCTTTTTAGAAAGTTACTACTGCCATATAAACAAAATAGACTTATTTGTAACCGATGCAACATCAGGTAATAACGCTGCTGCACCAGACAAAAAGCAGGTTGAATCTGCTCAATATAAACATGTATAAAATGCTTGAGTTTTGGTATTGATGATCTTGAACATAATTACAACAAAATTATTCTGATAA